CTGAATATCAGATTCAGTCATTGCCCAATACTTTTTCTTTCCCATAAGCCCCGAATTAAAAGGAAAACTCTCCAGGTCACAAAAATTATAGTGCCCAGAGCAAGTCGTACCAGCCTGCAGTCCCCTTGTGGGATTCCCTTCGGAGTTGCCTTTTTTTTGTGCACATTGTTGCTCGGTCAAAGCACTTTAGTCCCCCTCCACAGAGGCATAAACTAAATACAATTTCTTGTATACATTCTGCCCATTTATTGAATAATCCATTCTTCCTCTCCCCTTATTAGACATGCCCACATGTATCATACAATAAATTTTTATATGTAAGTAGGTCTACTTATGGACTCTTTAATCTCACTAATCTGATTCCTTATTCATGCACCAATACCAATTTTTAAAAACACACTATAAATTTTAAGCCGATAGGGCTAGTACGTCCTCATTATTCTTTTTCAGAATATTCCTACTCCTCATTTTGATTTTTCCTATGTTGATGTTTTCTATGAACTTTAGTACGTTGGGATTAGTTCCTTTTCCATCCCCTGCACAACCCATTCCTTCTCACATCTTCCATAATTTTTATATTAAATCCTTTAAAAAAGCCCTTCAGTTGTGGTTTAAAGGTTTCTTCATAGGTTCTTTTTAACATACTTTTCTTCACCCCAATCCTTCCATGAATATGGACAAACAGCAGCAACTCAGAGATGTAATTATCAACATTTGAGAATGATTTCTCCTCTACAGTTAGATTATTTCATTCTTTGTTCATTCATTTTGTGTCACTCAGATTTCTAATGTTCGAGATAATCCAAGGGACTTTAAAAAAATAAATTTTAACATTTAAGATTCTCTCTCCTTTGTCCTTTCTCTCCAATACTCAGCTAGGATTCCAACTAGGATTCCCCTTGACTCAAATCGTCCTCCTTGCAGTTACCCTACGTAACTGATCTTCTTTGGCTGTCCTGGCCCCTGGAGGCCTCTCCTGTCACTGAAGTCCTGACCCATATGTAGCAAATGTGTATAATGTTCACACAATTCATTTGCCATTCAGCCAACTTTGTATGGTTACTCGTCTTTTTACCTCTACATCTTTCCTTCCAGTGGATTATTAGAGAGGCAACGTGATCATCCTTGGTTCCCTCGCCCCTCTCCTTCCTCGCCTCAGTGGAGACACCTCATAAGTCTCAGGTGGTGTCTTGTACTTTCTTTAACCACTTACTGTTGGTAACAACAATTGTGCCTTCACATCTGGGCCTAGTTTGCTCTCTTACAAGGATGTTTCAAAAGTGGGGTAATGTGGTAAAAACTAAAAAATTTCAGGCGATGAAAATTACACTTGAAAATTCCTTCAGAGCAAACCGAATAGCTAATAACATGGTCTACTCAGCAACACTTTTAATTTTCTTTTCTTGCTTTCTGGGATTATGTCCTTGAAAAGAATGGCGGACTACTGGTGCCATTTCAATTGTGGTCTCATTTACTCTCTCATTGATTGAGCCCCACAGCTGGATTCTTACCATCTAAATCCCTTAAAGAGGATACTCCACCATATTTAAATGCTTTTCATTTTCCTGACCTTCCTAAGTCTCATTTCCTTCTTGAAGCTTCCACAGATATGCCACAGGGAGCCCTCCCCTTTCTGAATTTCTCTGGGTTTCTGCAGAGCTTCCTTTTGGTCTTGGTAGGTACCTGTGTGGGCTTGTCTTTTCCTGAGCAACTCACGCATGGGCCATGGACTCTAGAGGGGTTTGAAAGCTGGTCCTACCATCTGCTAGCTGTGTGATCTTGTGCAAGTCACTTAAACTCCCAAGGCCTCCTCAGTTTCTTCATCTGTAAAGTAGGAATAATCATTCTGGTTTCTACCTAATAAATATTACATGAGTTAATATTTGTAAAGTGCTTAAAACAGTGCCTGATCCAAAGTAAGCACCGTGTGTGTGTTTTCAAATTATACTCCTTCACCTAATACTTGTGTTCCCATCCAACGTGGGTAAAGAAGAAGGAATTAGTGTAAGAGCTTACTATTCACATGTGAATCGACTCCTCTCTGCTCTCGAAAACAGAAATCCCAGTCCTTTTAATTAAAATGAGCAGTTTTCAACCTCACCGACTCCATGCTGTGGGGATTGAAGGTCAGTTATTAGGTTTGTCCTGTTACAGAAAATGAATTGGCAACCTTGGACTCCTACAGGGTGTTTTTTCCCACAAGGTCATACCTCTGGTCCCGTGTCGGATGCATGTTGTGAGAGATCTACTTGTGTAAGCCATGCAGTCACCAGTCCCTTTCTTAGCAGCTCCTTAAAATGTTCCCTGGGTATTTCATGAATATAAACTTTAAAAAAAGAAAAATAATAAAGATTGTAACACATCTGTAAGGTCAAAGAGCTGTGACTTTTGAGTCCTCGTAACCCCCGGCATGGCTGGAAACTCTGCACAGATCATTAAGCCCTCACCAGTAGATTTATTGTTAAGATGGGTAGGACAAAGCAATGTTTGGAGATTGCCAACTACAGTGAGGGAAAACCTGCAGATAATAATAAAACTCCCCACAATTCCTAATCCACGTCTTCATTGGTGCAACTCCCAACTAAAAACACCGATTCATCCCAATTCCTCTCATCCCATAAGGAAGGGCAGTAAAAGACGGGAAGGAAACAAATGAGGGGTCTGATTGTGCTAAGTGAAATAAATCAGATGGAGAAAGACAGATTCTATGTGATATCTCTTATATGCAGAATCTACAATGGCCAAACTCATAGAGACAGGGAGTAAAATAGTAGTTACCAGTGGCTGGGGGTAGTGGGTAAGGGCAATGGAGAAAGGTCATGCTTTCTGGGGTTCTAACATACAACATGTTTAATAATGTATCATATCTCGAAAGTTACTAAGAGAGTAGATCTTAAATGTTCTCATGACAAAAAGAAATGGAAATCATGTAACATGATGGAGGTGTTAGTTAATGCTCTGGTGGTAGTCACTTTACAGTACATAAGTGTATCAAATCAACGCGTTATACACCTTAAACTTACACAGTGTTATATGTCAATGAGATCTCAATAAAGCTGGGAGGGAAAAAGAAGTGAGGGACTGGATCACCCAGTTAAAGGTTTATTGAGTGTTGACTCCTTAAGAGAGAACCCTGTTTTGCTGATCTTCTCTTTTAAGGAGTTCAGAAAAAGTGGATTTTATGGCATCAGCACCAGGGGGCAGGAGAGGAAACAGTATGAGTGGAAACAAGAGCATACTCAAGTAAATAACATGAATACGTGGTGCCAACACAGTTCTTGTCACCTAGTAGGTAGGCTATCCACGTTAGTTCAATCTGAAAGTTTTAAAGTCCTTTAAAAGTGAGTTCTTAATTACAGAAATCCATGCTCATTGTAGAAGAATTAAAAAAACAGAGAAGCAAAATGACAAATAATTTTTTAATTACTCATAAGCTCACCATCCAAAAATAAGCACTGTCAACATTTGGTAGAGTATATTCTATTTTCTACGCATGCACATCTTTCCCCCAAAATGGGATCACAATACATTCTTAATATTTTATGTTTCCGTAACTTTAATTGGTAATATCCACTTTTTATGCTCAAGATGTGATCATAAGTGGAGGAGAAAACTCTACCCAATGTTCTAAATGTGGCTCTGACCTAACCAATCTCTGGCAAGCAGCACAGCTTCTTTGAGTTTTAGATTCCTCACTTGTGACATAACTACTTTGAAGCCAATGATACCTAAAGCACCTTCCACCTCTATCATTCTAATTGTTGATGGGTAAATAGCTAGTAAGTGTCAAACTCAAAGACTATGTCCTTTCAGCTAGTTTTGGTTGGGTTGAGGGGCTAGTGAACCTACGATAGTTGGATTTTTCATTTCAAAACTCAAGCCCAAGCATTAAGTATTTTCCCCAGTGATTTTCAGCGTGAATTTCTTCGTTCTAATCACTCTACTTTACAATTTCACTGTTTGACAGTTACTTAAAAGACACAGGGAATATTGTATATTTTAATTGACTCCTGGATATCTAAGTTAATAGACCAGGACTAGCATGTGAGTTTTATAAAAATAAATCATACTCGACTTAGAAATTTAATTGTATGGTTGTAACTGATGGTCTAAAAACTCCCCAAACTAAGCAAAATAACGAAACCTCAGTGAAAGTAATTGGCTCGGAGAGTCACGAAACTTACAGTGTGATATTTTAACATTTTGGTTTCCACATCACTGCCGAAGGACGTCAGAACCGAGTCGAGGGATTTGGGTTGACCACAGGCTCTGTGGCTGACCCACCACGTGAGCGAGAAAGGCCATTTCATTTTTGGCTTTAGTTTTTCTCTTCTGGGGAGAAAAACTGAAGAATAGGTCGAAATACAAAGTGCCTTTTAATTAAATGCCACATCACTATTTTATCGGGCTAGCATGCTTTATTAATATTTGTTAGGGAATGGTTAATTCCTGGCAGCCTTCATCTACTGTTTGGTGCATTTGTGAATTCACCCAACCCAAAAATATGCAGCTAGCTTCTGATTGCACAGACTAAGGTGGGGGAGAAAATGCGCGGATGGACCAAGCAATGAAGAATATAAACATTTAAAAAATATATATACATTTGGAACGAGCCGCAGCTTTCTGTGTTCAGATTTAACTGTGCACAGACGCCTCAAGATGCAAAAAGCATCTCCTTCTCGGCAGCCGACAGAGCTGGCGCCCTGCCTGGGTAAGGTCTGCGGCTTTCTTCCCAGGCCAGCACCCGCTACGTGCGGTATGGCGCTGCCTCCACGCCTCCTCGCCCCGGGCTTGCTCAGTGCCGCGGGCGGGGGTGTTCCGGAGAACCCCACCCCAAGCCCTGAAGTCTGGAACCACGGCGGTCACGTACTCCCGGCGAGGGCTCGCGCCCCAGCTGGGCTCTGGTTGGTCCGAGGGATTGGGTCACGTGGTCCGGACAGATAAGGGGCCTTTCCCGAGCCGCACCCGCAATCTGCCCGAGCTACTGCCCAGCGGGGACAGCTGGGAGCGGCGTGCGAACTTGCGCAGGCAGCGAGCGTCGGCTCTCTCCGCCTGCTGCCCCGGCTCTGCCTAATGAGCTGCACCAGGTAGGTTCACTGCAGACTCTCGGCCCGGGACAAGAGGGGTGCGCGCAGCCGAGGGGAAGTTGGGCTGCGTTTCACTTCGGTCCTCTCTTCAAATAGAGACTCCACGGGAGGGCAAGTTGACTGACTGCCGAGTTGAATCTGGCATCCGGGAGGCCTCGGAGGTGTGGAGATTTGCTTTGTGCTTCTTAGGCGGAGCTGATTTTGGTAATCTGCACCTTACATCAGAAACTATTTTAAGGAGATTCAGCTTTAGTTCTTATTCTATTATGAATTGCGACTGTAATCTCTTGGTCCCTCACTGATGTCCCAAGGATTCTTAGCTTGTGGGAACAGCACTTTGACATTGCAGGTTGGGTAGTTTAAAATGGGGGGAAAACTACGGGATGATGATTCCTCCTCCTCCACTCTTCTTATCACGGTTTGCAAACTCAGTCTCAGAGTTGGAGCAAAAGATGATTTTTGAACTGTTGGCTAGGACTTAAAATTCCAGAATTGCTAAATTCTAAAACCGTCTATAAGTGCAAAAAGTAAAAAACAAAACAAAACAGACCTACAAAATTACTTCAAATAGTTTCCTCAGACGTAACAGCAGAAGACTTATCTAAAAATCCTGCATGTTAACTATTATTAGACCCAGAAATATAGCTTTAGCTTTTATTTATTTTGTTCTAAGTTTATATGTATTCCAGAAAAATCCCAGGAATAATAAAGTAAATTCTGTGAATGTTCTTTTATATTCATTCTGTGATAAGGATCATTTGCCTATGTGCTTAGAGCTGCTGTGAAGAGTTACTAAGAAATGTCATGTACTGTATACACACAGGACTTATCTATAAGGCGAGGAGAGGGAAAATTAGCCCATAAGCTTGGCAATATGTACTGGGGGCTAAGGGCTAGGAAAAAAACCTTGATGGACACGTATTAATTTAATATTACTGAGCATAGTTATGTTTAAATTTTAAAATAGTTTTATTCTTTCTAGTTATAAATATTCATTGCCAAAACATTAGAAAATACCAAAAAAGTACAAAGATAAAAATAGATCACCTATAATTCTGTCACTCAGAGATAATTAACTTTTCGGTTTATTTCCTGTTAAGTTTTTCGATATTTCTAAGTTCATATATATAATTTTCAGGTAATCAGCTTTTCCACTTAAATGTGGACTTGTCATGGATGTCTTTCCATAGGAAACATGCTATGCAAAGTTTTTCTTTAAGTGCATGCATTGCATTTCGGTTGGTTATGTGTGAAAAATGAGGAAGAGCATGATAGTCAAAATGCAAAGAGAACCCCAGACTTCACTCTGTCCAGCCTTCTCTCAAAATTGTTTCATGAAAATTTTTATTGCTATTTTTTTCAAGTGGGTTACCTTTTCAGAGACGTGTAATCAGTTCACCAGCAAAACCAGCAAAGTAGCCAGAAGGAGCACCAGGTCTGGAACTGTGCTTCCAGAACCTATCTGGTCATTACCATCACCTGGGAAGCTTTAAGAATATATGTACCTCTTTGTCCCCACCCCCAGAAGTTTTGCCTCAGTGGCTAAGTCCCAGGAATCTGCTTGAAAGAGAAAGAAAACCAACTCCCTAAGTTATTGTGACCAGACAGGTTTGAGAAGCACTGGTCCAAAACAGAACCAGTGGTTTTTAAAGCTATATTAAAGATGATCTGATCCAACCCTTTTATTTCTCAGATGAAGAAACTGAGACTCCTAGCTGTTTTAAGCAGTTAAGCAGTTAACCCATGGCTTTGTGACTATTAAAGAGTAGAACCAAACATATCTGATCATCTAATACTGTTTTCTTTACTGCATTTGATAGCACCTCCCTGATACTATGCCAACTATAATTTAGCCAATACAAAAACAGTATGTATATACTTGGGACCAGGGGAAGAGCATTCCAGATGCAGGTGATAACAACCCCTCCTATTCTTACATTCCAGAATGATCCAGGTTTTAGATCCACGGCCTTTGACAAGTTCAGTCATGCCAGTGGATGTCGCCATGAGGCTCTGCTTGGCTCATTCGCCACCTCTGAAGAGTTTCCTGGGCCCTTACGATGACTTTCAACGGAGAAATTTTGTCAACAAATTAAAGCCTCTGAAACCTTGTCTCCATATAAAACAGGAAGCCAAATCACAGAACGACTGGAAGCGTTCACACAACCAAGGCAAGAAACGAGTCGTGTTTGCTGACTCCAAGGGTCTCTCTCTCACCGCCATCCATGTCTTCTCTGACGTCCCAGAAGAACCAGCGTGGGATCTGCAGTTTGATCTCTTGGACCTTAATGATCTGTCCTCTGGCTTAAAACTCCATGAGGAGAAAAACTTGATTTTAGATTTCCCTCAGCCTTCAAGTGATTACTTAAGTTTTCGGAACCACTTTCAGAAGAACTTTGTGTGTCTGGAGAACTGCTCTCTGCAAGAGCGAACAGTGACTGGGACTGTGAAAGTGAAAAACGTGAGCTTTGAGAAGAAGGTTCAGGTCCGTATTACTTTTGATACCTGGAAAAGCTACACCAATGTGGACTGTGTCTACATGAAAAATGTGTATGGTGGCTCAGATAGTGATACCTTCTCATTTGCCATTGACTTACCCTCTGTTATTCCAACTGAGGAAAAAATCGAGTTCTGCATTTCTTACCATGCTAATGGGCAGGTCTTCTGGGACAACAACGATGGTCAGAATTATAGAATTGTCCATGTGCAATGGAAACCTGATGGAGTACAGACACAGATGGCACCCCAGGACTGTGCATTCCACCGGGGGTCCCCCAAGGCTGAGTTAGAGTCAACAATCTTTGGCAGTCCAAGGCTGGCCAGTGGGCTCTTCCCAGAATGGCAGAGTTGGGGAAGAATGGAGAACTTGGCCTCCTATCGATGAATTAAGCAACCTAGTGACTGGTCTTGACCTGTCATATTCCCCATGTAATCCCCCAGGTCTATATTGCTCAATATTAGGAAGTCTTAGCTACTTTCCTTCAGTAGGTTTAGGTTTGAGCTTTTGGGACCTGGCTACAAAAAAGAAAAAAAAGTAGCCACTTGAGAATTTAGTGTTGGGACCTATATCAATGATGCTGCCCAACTTCGCTGTGGAGGATGAAGTAACAGCCTGGAAGTTCATTTTTATAAAAGTAATACTTCTTAAATGCCATTTCTCCTTCCCTCTCAATTGACTAGCTTTCATGGTGGGCAAAGAAAGGTTGAGGAGGGACAGTTGATGGTGATGGAAAGCTGTATTAATGGTATGAGGAATGTCTGAAAAGTGTTCACAAAGCTCTGTAGCTTGAGTCAGAGTAGGAGCGAGAGGTCTGATACTTAACTGTCGGTGAGAAAATGTAAGGTTATTTTGTGTTTTTAAGTTGGCTTTACAGTTCTCTCCTGGGGAAATAATATGTAGAGGGGAGAAAAAGACCTATATATTTCTCTGGAGAAAAACCAAACAAACTTTAGGGGTGTTGGGTGATCCTGGAGAAAGGTGAGTTATAACTCTGGAGCATCAAAATTTTAAGTGAAGCCTTTCTGTTCAAACATGATTTATCAAAAACCGTGATTTGGGGAAAGTTTAAGCAAATCTGGCTTTGCAGTTGTAATGCTTTGCGAACAAAACATCATGCGTGGGTTCCCAGAGAATGCCGCTTAACCAAAAAGCCATGCCATCATCAATGGCTAACAACTTGTAGGGACTCTAAGTCATGTCAAAGATAGCTCTTTGCAAGTGCCTTGATTAAACCAGAACATTGTAGTTGCTTAACCCAAATATTTGAAGGGTCGTCTGATAACTCATGAGTGGCCTCATGAGAAGGCCCACCCTGTATGCTGGCATTCCTCCTGCAGTACTACTGTATCTTAGAGAGTGTTGTCAGTATACACAACTCGCATCCTTCATATTGAAGGTGACTTATTTTTTTCACGACACTTTTTCGATGTGATGTTGGAAGTGAGGACTGACACTGATTCTCAATTCAAGAATCCAGTACCTTGCACATAAAAGTAGCAATCTATTTCTTGCCTCTATTTATCTTGTTGTTTTAAGTCTTTCTACCAATTTCTTTGATGTCAAAATATACATTTTTTAGAATGACTGTGAATTGTTTTGAATGTGTTGTAATATATTTGTTTTGAGGTATGCATAAATTCATTCTGTAAGATCTCAAGGACAGGAGTATTTGCCTCTATCACGTGCATGTCCATTGAGAGATGTTCAGAGAATGCAGTTAATTTTAACATGTGTGATCTGCCAGGCCGGAAAAGTACTATTGGAATAACTCTACTGTGACAGTATTTGAAGTTTGGCTAGCACCCACATTTTTCTACTCTCAATATTTCACTCTCCTATAGCTATCTGTAGTGAATGTCTCACTGTAAGAATAAAAGTGTTTGATATAAGATCTAAGTGTGTTTTCTTTGTTAAAGTCATAGTTAAATAAGAAACCATGAACTGAGATTCTCCCATTTCGTTTAAGGACAACTGAGCAAGGCTAGTTTGGATCTGGAATTAGACTCACCTGAGGGCATTTACATGGTCACAATCTTGTGGGTGACTTCCTACTACGATGATCATTGGGGCTGGGGTTCAGGAGCAGTGACTTGAGCTGCCGCGACTGGCCCCCAGACTGTCCCCATCTGTGCTGACTGCTCATCACACATACTCAACTGGGTCAAGGTTATTGCGGGGAGAGGGGGGCACTTAGCTTTAAAATAGGGGTAGAAATGGTGTGGGAAGAGCTGGAATGGCTTCTACCTCTTGAGCACCAGCACCTTACTAAAGAGGCAAAGCTTGGAGCTGCACAGAGGGCAGAGGGAGGGGCCGGTGGGCATCAGCCCCAGACCAAAGGGAGAGGCTCAGTTCCTTGGGGTGAGAGGCAGCAGGTCTTTGAATCTAAACTGTAGTTTCAGTTCTTACCTAAATTTCAGAAAGAGCTTCTGAATCTTAAGGGGAAATAAGTGACTGACCTACCAGGAAAGCCCAGTTATGAAGAGTAAGTCATCATATAACATCCTCTTCATCAGAAGTGTAAACTGCAGGCCTGCAGGCTATATCTGGCTGCAGATGTGTTTTGTTTGACACAGGGATTTTTTGTTCCTTTTTCCCTTTTTTAAACAGAATATATTGCCAAGATTAAACGATCAGCAGACTTTATTTTTCGAGAAAAATTGCAAGATCTTTCTTCATGGTAATATCTACCTGGAGTTGAGTAGCAGTTGCCCCTTTAGACGAGGCATGCATCCCTTCACGGAGTGTCCTGCCTTGTGTTGTCACAGTTCCCACTCATTGCATCATTCTTTTAGACTATCTGCGTGACCTCTGTAGCTGTTGGAGTTCGTTACTCTTGTTTCCTCTGGCTTTCTATTCATGCTGATGTTTCTGTGAAAAACACCCTCTTCCCACAAAACGAGAACAATAAACTTGGATCCAACAGGGACTCTGAAGACCATGTGACTCCAATGCCTAACTATATAAAAGAGAGGGGAAGTGACTTGTTCAAGGTCCCATGCCAGGTTGAATCAGTCTGGAAAATGAATTCTGGGCTGGACAGTGACTTTTTGTCTAGTGTTCTTCTGCTTCATACTTCTTCCCTAGTGACCCTTCTTTGTAGTTGTACTCTTTCTTTTAAAAAATATTAAAAAATTTTTTCAATTACAGTTGACATATGAAGTATTAGTTTCAGGTGCATGCCCCCTTAAAGAGGGAATGCTTTCCAGGCAGGCATGATGCTGGTCAGCTCTTGCTGATTGCCTGTGTCAGCTTGACCTAGTGCTGGCTCGTACCCAGGCTGCATGTGAATGACTGAAGGAGAGTCTGGTCAAAGAGCAGGGTGTTCCTGAATGTTTCCTATGGAATGGAATCATCCATATTTCACATCCTGATACCTCACATAATAGAGAAGCAACAGGGCTTTTAAAATTGAACATGAGAGAATGGCTTGAATTTGGGGTGCATGATAGCTTGTTCCAAAAAAGTAAGGTCTAATTTAGTTAAAGGAAGAACTCTGTTATTTTCTAAATTTATGGCTCTCCTTTCAGTTTATTCCCAAATTGAAAGTCTGAAAATCCCTAGTGTGGTTAGTGAACTGTGTATCTTCATCAATGTGAGTCCAAAAGTTTTGTTTAAGTTTGGGTGGTCCTTCAGTCCACAAAGAGAGAGTGTCTACTTCAGCTTTCATCGCCAGGTGGTGCACAGTTTTTTAGCAACTACGGGGAGTTGTGGCCTGAACAAAGAAAGCCTCTTGTTAGTGGGCAGGAACCCTGAACACAGAGCAGTCTCTTATGTGCAGTCTTGCTGACTCTTTGCCTCCTGACCCTTCCCTCTTTCTGCCAAAGAGTGAACACCCACCACTGGGTTTAGAGCAGCGGTCCCCAACCCCTGGGCTGCAGACTTGTACCGGTCAGTGTCTGATTAGGAACCGGGCCACACAGCAGGAGGTGAGCAGCAGGTGAGCTAGCGAAGCTTCATCTGTGTTTGCAGCCGCTCCCCAGAACTAGCATCACCGCCTCAGATCTACCTCAGATCATCAGGCATTAGATTCTCATAGGAGCACTGGTTCCTCATGCCAAAAAGGTTGGGCGCCGCTGGTGTAGAGGATCCCTTTAGGCCAGTGGTCCTGAACACTGGCTGCATATTGAAACCATCTGGAGAGCTTTAAAAACTACCGATGCCTGCCTCCCTGCCCCCTAAAAGTTCCCCAAATTCTGATTTAATTGGTTTGAGTTGTGGCACAGGCACTGGAAGTTTTTGAGAGCTTCCCAGTTGTTTTCAATATGCATAAAAGTTGTGGACTTCTGCTCTGCTTGAAGCTGTGTGAAGTGTCTTCAACTGCTCCATTTCAGAAAGAGAGTTATATATGCTTCAGAGGATTTCTCCACCCACTTCTCTTTTACAGATGATAAGAGAGAAGCCCAGAGTGATTTAAACTCACTCAAGATTACAGAAATGGTACAGCCTGGCTCCCTGACTCTTTTTCCAGACACCCCTAACCCTGCCCATGTCATCTTCTGCTAACGACCTGAACATAGACTTTTTAGTTTTACCAACCAAGTCTCTCCTTTTCTCTTCTTTGATCTTTTGTATATAAAGATATGTTAATGAGGTTGTCTTTGGTTGCAAGTGACATAATTCTCTGACTCAATGAGCTTAAGTAATAAAGAAAATTTATGATCTCACAATATGAGTCCCAAGGTAAGGTGTTTTCAAAGTTGGTAAATTCAGTAGTTTTAAACTCAGGTTATTTCCTTTTTTTTTTTACCCCCTCCAATCCTTATTACTTTTGACTGTACCTTTGCTAATTCGCTTCCTAATTACAAGATGGCTGCCACAGTTTCTAGGCATCATGTGCAGACACAACACCAGCCAGTAGAAGAAAAAGCCCACCTCTTTCTTGTGTCACTTTTGAAGGGTGAATAACCTTTTCCCAAGAGTTCGTCCCAACATTCACCAAAGACTCCTCCACCTTTGCCACCATGTTTTACTGATCAGAATTAAGGCACATGCCTGTGTATGACTCAATCTCTGGAAGGAGGATGAGACTTTATGATTGGCTCAGACAAGTCAAGATCCCCACCTTCCTTTGCCTCCTCCCAACCAGGGGCTAGAGGAGATCCGACTTCTGAAAAGCAAAGTCATATGGAGGAGGGGATACTGGAACTTCACAATTTGCAAATATCTTGAGTGAGAAATGAGATGAGAATCAGGTTCAGTTTTCTGCATACCTCCTCGCCAGAATATTGACTTTCGAATTCTTAAATCTGTATGTTTCAATGGAATACAGAACATAAGTGAAAGTGAATGGCAGCTACTCCTACCCAACACAAATGAATCTCACAAACATAAAATTGAGCGTAAAAAACAGGAAGCAGAAAATACAGTATGACTCATTTATGTAAGGTTCAAAACAAATCTATCTATGTCTGCATCTAATAAGGGCAAGCAAGAGAATAATAAGTAGAATTTTGCATAGTGATTACTTCTAGTGGAGAAAGACAAAAGGAATTGGGGAGGGATACAAAGAAGGATTCAAAAATATTGCTAACATTTTCTTAAGCAAAATTTTCTTGTATATATGCATGAAAATTTGTATATACATATTATATATATACATGTATTTACAACAAAAAATTTAAACAGGTTTTATTATTATCTGTAAGCATAGTAAAAACTTTCCCATTTGCATCCTATATGAAATTACTTCCTTTTCAATTTTTTTTTGGGGGGGCAGGTGTGATCTCTCCCCTATATAATCATTAAGAATGATAAATTGTTTTGGAACATCTGGGTTTTGAAAGCATTGTTCTGCCAGCCTTTATGATGTAGTTTGTATTCATGACTCTGGACCATTTTTGTGTGTTTCTCCAACCTTCTTCGGTTGTGTCAAGTTGAGTAGAAGTTTCCTTTATGTTCTCATTGCTGGCGCAAAAACGAAAATTAAAGCCAATTCCTTAGGTGTTTCTGTTACGGACTAGCGATTCTCTACGTTGTTGGTGCTTACATCTGGGGTTCTAGGTAGAGAAAGGGAGATCCTATTTTACATGGTAACCACCTTCCCTTAACATTCTAAATGGCACCCGCGGAGTGGAAAGCCTCTTGCTGGTACCACCATCCACATCTATAGGCACCTACACAGCCCTGCCTTTCTGATTCCCGGCCCAGTCTCCCAGCCCTTATTTATCTACACCGAAAGTGCATCTAACTTAGGTAAAGAGAGGCACCCTTCCATCTTGGGATCAGTTCCAACTGCATTATATCATCATCTAGTTTCAGCATTCTTGGAAAATAATAATCAGGTCACACCTATGCCAGAAACTTGCCATTACAGCAACAAAAAATATAGATGCTATCTATATATCACAAAAAGATACAGCCATAACAATAGCCAGTGGGGGTGCCTGGATGTTTGCTGGTACAGCTTCTCAAAGCCCCTTTGTCCTACTCATGCTCTGATAATGGATCTAGGTATTAACAGCTCATGACAGTATGAGTCCACTGAGTCAGAGGAGCTGGTGAGTCACACACACCTACTCCCTCAAGAAGATATTTTGTCCCAGCCATTTATAATGCTAACCAATTCAAAGTAATTAAACACGACTGTAACCAGACACGCAAAAACACAAATGTCCAGTTATGTACACTGTTAGATATGCAACCTTCAGAATTAATCACAGTCTGACCTCTCATCAGAAATAGGTTTTATTTTTATACACACAGCACGCACGCGCACACACACACACACATACACACACACATATTAGCTAAGGGGACTCAGAGATAAACTGGGTATTGGGGAGGGTAGAGAGGGCAGAGTAAAAGATGGCAGCATTGTTTTAGCTTGGGACATGGGACAATGATGGTACCACACTGAAGTGGGGAAGTTTGTCAAGTTTGCGAGAAAGACTA